TACCACCCAATCAGTCTACTCTTAATTGTTAGCAGTGTTATAAAAGATGTTGTCGACTGCACTGTCAAGTAGCACCTACTCTGAAGTGATATAGTCACTGATAAATTGTTTGGGGTCCACCAGGATCTCTTTGCCCTGAACTTCGCAGCCTTGATCCAAACCTGGACAAAAGAGAGAAATTCCAAAGATGACGTGAGAGTGACAGGCCTTTGCAGCACAGAATTGTTGAATTATTACACTGCTGAAGGAGGCCTGTCAGGTAATGCACAGGCTCTCTAAGCATGGCATGGTGCTAATATCCTGCTTTATCCCTACGTTGTTTATATTTAAATAATGGGAAGGTGATAGTCTTGTGGTATTATCGCTAGACTATTAATCCAGAGACCCAGATAAGGTTCTTGGGACCCAGGTTTGAATCCTGCTGAGGCAGATGGTGGAATTTGATTCAGTAAAAAAAAAATCAGAAAATAAAGATCTACTGATGATCATGAAATCATTGTCGATTGTCGGAAAAACCCATCTGGTTCACTAGTGTAAATCTGCCATCCTCATCTGGCCTACACGTGATTCCAAACCACAGCAATGTGGTTGACTGTCAACTGCCATTCAGTTGTACCAATCACTACAAAGTCTCAAAGAAATGGAACCAGACAGATCACCTGGCATCAACCTAGACACCAGAAAAGAAACAGCAAGAACAGCCCTGTCGAACCTACAAAGTCCTCCTCACTAACATCTGGGGGCGAGAGCCAAAATTAGGAGAGTTATCTCACAGACTAGTCAAGCAACAGCCTGACATAGTCATACTCACAGAATTATACCTTACAAACAATGTCCCAGACACCACCATCACCATCCCTGGATATGCCCTGTCTCACCAGCAGGACAGACCCAGCAGAGGTGGTGGCACAGTGGTATACAGTCGGAAGGGTTTTGATCTGGGAGTCCTCAACATTGACTCTGGATCCCATGAATTCTCATGGCTTCAGGTTAAACATGGGCAAGGAAACTTCCTGCTGATTTCCACATACTGTCTTCCCTTAGCTGATGAATCAGTACTCCCCATGTTGAACAACACTTAGAGGAAGCACTGAAGATGGCAAGGGCACAAAATGTACTCTGGGAGGGGGATTTCAATGTCCACCACCAAGATTGGCTCGGCAGCAGTACTACTGGTTGAGCTGGTCAGGCCCTGCAGGTGGCAAGGGAACCAACAGGGCAAAACATACTTGATCTTATCCTTAAGAACCTGCCAGCTGCAGATGCACCTGTCCGTGACAGTATCAGTAAGAGTGACCATTGCACAGTCCTTGTGGAGACAGAGTCTGCCTTCACATTGAGAACAACCTCCATCATGTTGTGTGGCACTATCACTGTGCTAAAGGGGACAGACTTCTCACAGATCTAGCAACTCAAGACTGGGCAACTATGAGACACTGTGGGCTATCAACAGCAGCAGAAGTGTACTCCAGCACAATGTGTAACCTCATGGCCTGCCATATCCCCCACTCAACCATTACAATCATGCAAGGGAATCAACTCTGGCTCAGTGAAGAGTGCAGGAGGGTATGCCAGGAGCAGCACCAGGCATACCTGAAGATGAGGTGTCAATGTGGTGAAGCCACCAAACAGGACTACTTGCGTGCCAAACAGCATAAGCAGCAAGTGATAAACAGAGCTAAGCAATCCCACAACCAATGGATCAGATCTAAGCTCTGCAGTCTTGTCACATGCAGTTGTGAATGTGGTGGATGATTAAACAACTCACTGGAGGAGGAGGCTCCCCATCCTCAATGATGGAAGAACCCAGCACATCGGTGCAAAAGATAACGCTGAAACTTTTGCAGCAATCTGACACGTAGGAAAATGGTGTGGTTGTTGGAGATCAGTCATCTCAGCTCCAGGACATCTCTGCAGGAGTTCCTCAGTGGACTGTCCTCGGCCTAACCATCTTCAGCTGCGTCATCACTTGCAAGTGGTGGTGTTCCCAGATATCTGCTGCCTTTGCTCATCTACATGGGGGTGGCCATGGGTTTGGAAGATGCTGTCTGAGGACCTTTGGTGAATTTCTGCATTGTATCTTGTAGAGGTACTGCTATGACCGAGCATCAGTTGTGGAAGGAGTGGATGCGGTGCCAATCAAGCAGGCTGCTTTGTTCTGGATGGTATTGAGCTTCCTGAATGTTATTAGAGCTGCACCCATCTAGGCGCATGGGGAAAATTCCATCACAATCTTGACTTGTGCCATGTAGGTGTTGCGCAGGCTTTGGGGATTCAGGAATCAAGATACTCGCCACAGCATTCCTAGCCTCTTGTAGCCACTGTATTTATATGGTGAGTCCAGTTGAGTTTCTGGTCAAGGGAACCCCTTAAGGATGTTGATATTGGGGAATTCAGTAATGGTAACACCATTGAATGTCAAAGGGTGATGTTGGATTGTGTCTTATTGGTGATGGTCATTGCATGGCACGGATGTTACTTTCCACTTGTCAGCCCAAGCCGGGACATTGTCCAGATTTTGCTGCATTTGAACATAGATTGCTTCAGTATTCATGGGGTTGCAAATGGTGCTGAACATTGTGCAATCATTAGCAAACATTCCCATTTCTGACCTTATGAAGGAGGGAAGGTTGTAGATGAAATAACCTTCCGACAGCCACGGCCATCTTTCTATGTGCCAGGTATGACTCCCACCAGTGGAGAAATTTTCCCACTGATACCCATTGATTCCAGTCTTGCTAGGACTCCTTGTTGCCACACTTTGTCAAATGCAGCCTTGACATCAAAGGCTTTCACTCTCGCCTCACCCCTGGAATTTGGCCCTTTTGTCCATGTTTGAACCAAGGCTGTAGAGAAGTCAGGAGTTGAATACCCCTGCAGGAACCCAAACTGGACTTCACTGAGCAGGTAATTGCTGAGCAGGTGCTGCTTGATAGCACTGTTGATGACACCTTCCATCACAAGTGATTGTACTGATGTACTGATTCTTGCACTTGCTCGTAATTTATTTGCTGGGCTTTGAAGCTTGATGTGTTTAATCCATTTATATTACCAAATGGAACTTTGAAATAATGCCCGCAATAGGATAGAGATGCCAAAACATGCAGTAATGCTAATGCCCAATCAATGTTTTCTTTTTGATTTCCTTTCTCTTCCTTCCCCAGAATGCAAACATGGCACTTCATTAAAATTTGGACTAACTGCAGGAGCAAAACAATGGTGGGCAATCCTATTACAGTATTATGGAGAAACACCAGGGGAGTGTGACTAGTTGGGTAGTTATTTCAAAGGGCTTAATGGGCTGAACGGTCAGAGCTGTACTGTATGAGTTTGAACCGTATTGCTAATTGGTATCACCCTTACAAGACTATTTTTCGACAAAGAAAATAATTTAACGTATATAGAGATCAGGCATTTTTGAATATGTAAATAATCAAAACTAGAACAGGAATGTCCTATATTTCCTAGCAACTGTATTCCTAGCAGCAGATCACAAAACACGTTGCTTGCTCTCATTCTCGGACTGAGTTGATTTTCTGGTCTGAGAAAATTCAGAAATAGAAGGTAAAGAAAATTTTGAAAAATGGCATCATTTTCAAAACCATAGATGTATTTTGAATGCCAGTTCTCCATGCTGAAAATCTGTCTTCTTTTTGGTACCCCATATCTTGAGTAATACTGGGACAACAAGGTGCAGAGCTGGATGAACACAACAGGCCAGGGTGCCTGCTGTCTTCTCTGCATTTTCTTATGCTGATGTACAACACAACACTAGTTCTCAATATCTTCTTCCAATTTAGTCCCTTACAATGTCAAATAAACCAACTGCCAGCTTGTTTCCCCAGTGATGTTATCAGCATTCTCTTGCAAACATATGTAGCTGGTAATTAGCCATAGCTCCTGCGGGATTGTTGGCATCTCTTCCTATTAGAGGGAGGCAATTGATTATAGACCTTGTTGAGAACCACATCAGGAGGCAGTTCCTAAGTCTGCCTCAACCGGAATGGAATTGAACCTGCTGTTATTCTGAACCACACAATAGCCATCTAGTCAACTGAGCTCACCAGCTCCCTTTTTTAAAACATATGAAATGAAAGTAACATTGTTGTTTTTCAAAGTTAAGTGCAAGATTTTTTAAAATAACAGTTCTCATCATTGCATGGGATTTATTACTAATTATGCTGGTTTTTCTCTGATAAACTCTGTTCGCCAATGAAATCAAGCCATAAATATTTCTGTTAAAAGTTGTAAACTTTGAAATCCCATTCTTTGAGTGATTCTGTGAGACAGTTGACCGATTGTCATTTCAATTGTATTTAGCACCTTGGAAATGGGGACACAGAGGTTTTTGTATCTGAGACTGAGTGCTGTTTTCCAATAGAAGCAATTCTATTCCTTGATAATGATCATGGACTTCAGTCTAAATGCATTAAAGTTATGTACATGCACATGCACTGTAGCAGAGATCAGTGGCCTATGTGGCAAGCAGTAAAATTGAGCATTGTAATTCAGAGTTGGAGATGCATGTCTGGGAACTGAAACTGACAGAAAATGCTTTGTGCCTGACTTTGAGCATGACAAATCCTATATGAAATGTCAGGTGCATGTTTGAGAATGAAACTGCATTTTTTTTTTATTTGGTAACACGTTGCTATGAGAGGACACAAAATTGAAGTGCAAGCACAAGAAGGTTTATCAAAGCTTTATGTTCATTGTGTATACAAATTGAATTTCTTCCCAAGTTACTAGACTAGTAAAATTCTGTATTAAGCTTGATATGAATTAGCATGTAAAGTGGTTCCATTATGCTTAGGCCCGTGGCCACCAAGTTTGAATATGGGAATGAAAACTCATTACTTATCTTGTAAAAAGGCTATTTTTAAATTCCATTTTCCCATCTATGTTCTGTATGACCTGCATATAAATGATAGAAATATATGTGTTTCTCTTCAGAGAGATTTATAGGATTGACAAGAATCTTTTTATTTCATTCTTTTCAGAATTACTGATTTGGGAAATATCAAGCGACGACTGTATTTATCAACTATCCATAAGGAATTGTCTGCAACTCCACTACATGCAAAGATACCGTTGGGTATTATCAAACGTAAAATCGTATGTTATTTTTAAAATAATTATCAGTAGCTACAAAATTTAAACCTTAATGGTTAAGAATATTTCTAAGTTTGAAATGAGTTGCACCAGTTTCCAGTTTGGGGTATTTTGGGGAAATTGTTCCTTTTGTCTGAACCTTTTAATGGACTTTAATAAAAGAGAAATCCAATTTTTAATGCTACATTTTTGCCATTGTAAAGAGTTCAGGTGTACTTTCCTGCACAGAATATGACAATGAAGTTTCATACACAACTGTTACTACATGGAGCTCTGCAAGATTTTTGTTTGCCTAGAATTCTGTGCCATGTATACAGAAGAATAATTGGAGAGTTGATCATTATTTAATAAATTAAAATTGCAATGTTATGCACTGTGAGGCAATTGACTTCCAAGTTGGCCATTAGAACCTTGAACAGCTTCTTTGAGTTTTCACATGCCTTTGGCAAATCAACAAGTTTATCTGGCTTATTACTGTACCCTATTGTTGTGCCAAATTCTTTACCTACTATACACCAATACTTCTGGTTAGAATAAGATGTAGCACCTACAATAATTGTTCTGTTAGCTTTCCACAGTTTATCAAGGCCCATGGAAACCAGTATCCCTTATTCCTGATCTTTAGAATTTAGTGGGAAGAATGTGCAGCACAGAACACAGTATAAACTGTCCTCAAACAGCCTTCCTAGGTACCATTGAGAGAAGTTAAAGATATGGTACATTTTGGATATAAAAATAATTGCCATTTCCCAAGTTGAGTTTTTGTAGAACAATGATATTATTTATACTTTTGGAAGAGGATATTCAGTGCGAATAAACAACAGAAAATTAAAAATCAAAATTGGAATTAATAGTCCCCTCACCTCTGTGGATGAAATGACAATGTCTCAGAGCACAATTGTTGCCTGAATTAAGGCATGTTTTTGTTAAAGGTAGACAAGAGGCTAGTAGTGTTAAATTAATTCTGTAAATTTTAACATTCTCCTCCAAGGCAAAAACATTTTTACAAAGATGAATGGTATGTAATCAGTTATCAGATAAATGATTTATGACATTACCTACATTGATAGTATATTTCTATCAATTAAAGTATTTGTATGCAACAGAATAATTTGAGCAGTTATACAAATATGATTTATAAAGCTTTATTGCAGATAACATAAGTAATTTACTTACACCACAAGCAATGCCAGTTCTCACTTGTTGACATTGGTGCACATGACATTCAGCTGCTGGAACTCATATAATAGGGGAAAACACTAAACTAGATGTTAATTTCAAAAGGAATTGAAAATTGAGTCTATAAAATAATGTAGAAATTAGGGCAATAAACAGCACCAGTTGTGAGAACAAAAGAAATAAAGATAGGAATTGTCCACTCAGCCCCTTGTGCCTACTCCATAATTTAATAAGTTCATGGCTGGTCTGATTGTGGGCTGAACTCCACTTGTCTGACTGACCACCAGACCCCTCTGCCCATCAATAACCCTTGACTCTCTTCTACATCAAAAATCTTTCTAATTCAGCTTTGAGTATACTCAATGATGTAGAGTTCATTGCTCTTTGTAGTAGGAAATTCCAAAGATTTGGACAGAATAAGTGCCTCCTCAACTTCATCTTTCATTGCAAACCCCTTATTGTAAACTCTTCCCCTTATTTCTCTAACCCCACACCACCACCACCACCACCATCCCCCCAACCACCACCAACCTCCACCCCTGCCGAGGAGGAAGTAGCCCCTCAGTGTCTACTTGTCAGACCTCCATAGAATCTTTTATGTTCCAATTAGGTCACATCTAAACTCCACAAAATATAGTACCGTCCTGTTTAATCTTTCCCCAAAAGACAAACACCTCATTTCAGACATCTCCTTAAGTCAGTGATCAAATCTGTACACAAGAATCTACGCGTGGTTTCATCCATGCTCTGTATTGTTTTAGCAGAAGTTCTCTATTTTTATAAGCCATCCTTTTGCAATACAGGCCAAAATTCAGTTTGCCTTTCTATATTACTTCCTGTATCTGCATTCTGATGTTTTGTTATTCATAGTAAAAACACGCAGATCCCTCTATAATACAGCTTTTATTGCAATTCCAGTTAAGTAATATTCTGTATTTCTATCCCTCCTGCCAAATTGGATCACGTCACATTTTTCCACATTATACACCATTTACCAATTTTTTGAACACTCACTTAACGTAGTTATATCCTTTAGTAGAACTCTTGTAAATTCCTCACAACTCACTTTTCTACCTGTTTTTGTATCTTTACCAAATTAGACTATAATATAGTCAGAGCCTTCATTTAAATCATTAAATGAAGGATCACAAATAGTTGAGGGCCTAGCAATGAACTTTGTGGTTTTCTGGTAGCTACTTTGGTTTCCTCAAAATAACCTGTTTATCTCGAGTTAGCAAGTCCTCAATCTATTGTAATATATCACCCCAAGACCATAAGATTTTATTTTGTGTCATAACCTTTTATGCAGCACCTAATCAAATGCTTTTTGGAAATTAAAAGACAGGCTAGGTTGCAAACGGTTGTGTTCTTAAGTATGTTCAGAAGCCAATTTATATATAAGTTAGAACCCAATACAGTTCAATTTAAAATAGCTGTTTGTAAGTACAAGGAAACATTACCACATTTTTTGCCTGTAAAACTGACAAGGAAAGGCTAAAGTTAAGCTGGCAATGCCTAGAGCTGAAAAAGCATCAGGACTGGCTGAGCTGCATCCAAGAGTACTGAGGGGAGTAAGCACAGAAATTGCAGAGGCACTGACCACAATTTTAGAGTCTTACTTAGGCTCAGGGGTAGTTCCAGAGGATTGAAAAATTCCAAACATTACACTCTTGTTCAAGTAACAGCATTCTTGTTCAAGAAAGGATATAAAAACAAGCCTAGCGACTGCAGGCCAGTCAGTTTGTTTTGTTCAGGGAAAGGTTCCAGAAACATTAATTTGAGACAAAATTAATGGTCACTTATGCAATTACTAGTTAAAGGCAAACTGTTTTTATCCAGCTCACTGGTGTTTGTTTCGCAGAGCTAACAAAAGGGGTTCATGAGAGTAATGCTGTTGATATGGTGTACAGGGACTTCCAGAAGGCATTTGTAAATCTGCTACTAATCTACTCTGTTTCAAGAAGAGTAATCCCTGATACCATTCTACAAAATTTTGTCTGCATCCTCTTTAGGGCCTTAACATTCTTTGTAAAGCATAGCGCCCAGTATCAAACGCCCTATTCCAGTTGATGCCTAAAAAGTGCTTTGTAATGCCTCAGCAAAACTTCCTTGTTTATACATCTTAAGTCTTTATTAGTAAAGCAAAGGATCCAATTTGCTTCTTTAATAATCTTCTCAACTTGTCTTGCCATCTTCAAAGTTTATGCCCATATGCCTCCTGGTCTCTCATGTTCACCAATCCCTTTTTAACTTGTAGCATTTATTTTGCTCCCCTTCATCTCAATTTCATACCGAGGTATACCATTTTGCACTTCTCTAAATTAAGTTTCATTTGTCATGGCCATTTGGTCAGTCTGCCTATGTCTTCCTGAAGTCTGTCACTATCCTTTACATTGTTTAATACATTTCTGGATCAATTGCGAATTTTGAAATTACGCCCTGTCTCCTCCAGTCTACGACATTTACATACTTAAAGTAGGAACCGTAATCTGAAAGCTACCCTTAATATACACCAATGTTAATCCTTCTGCAGTTTCCCTTACTACCTGCGTTCTGTCCCTTAGCCAGTTTTATTTTCACACTCCGATTGCCCCTTTAATCCTATGTACTTCAGTTTTGCTAACAAGTCTGTTATGTGATTTTCCTGTTTTATTTATCTGTAGGTGTATTTTAGACATGATTGTCCATGTTCTAACATTAAGCCAGGAGATCAACTCTGGTTCAATTAAGAATGTGAGGGCATGCCAGGAGTAGCACCAGGCATATTTAAAAAATGAGATGTCAAAAAATGAGGCTACAACACAGGATTACTTTCCAACACTAGAGGTCATAGGTTTAAGGTGAGAGGGAAAGAAATAAAAGGGACCTGAGGGGCAACTTTTCCATGCGTGTGTGTGTTTATGTAACAAGCTGCCAGAGGAGGTGGTGGAAGCAGGTACAATCACAACATTTAAAAGGCATCTGGATGTGTACATGAATAAGAATGGTTTAGAGGGATATGGGCTAAATGCTGTCAAATGGGACTAGATCAGTTTAGGATATCTGGTCAGCGTGGATGAGCTGGACCAAAGGATCTGTTTCTGTGCTGTATAACTCTATGACTATGTTCATATGATTTCTGAAATGGAACAGATTGTAAACGATGCTGTTATTATTTCCCCAGCAAGCTCAAACTGTTTCCTCAAAGGAAATTCCATCATTATTTTTGTATATTGTATGAAATATACATATATATATATAAAGTATTTGCATTTACACATATTGCAAAATTAAAAGTCATTTACAGTTGCATTTTGTACATTGGTTAGGTTGAAAAGAAGAGTGACATTATTGTAACAGTTTATTTAGATTAATATTACATTTATTCACCCTCCTTGAACCTTGGCTATTATAGATTTCTGAAACTAGGAGGACAATTTTGAGGCCTTTGTCAATACCAGTTTGAAACTAGCTGCTTCCTGAGAGATTCCTAATGAGTCAGTTGACCTCTGCTACTTGATCTCCACAGCAACAAGGTTGAAGTAGACTACTAACCATTTCAAGAATTGTGGTGGAGAAGCTGTAACTGACCAGTATTCTGCTTTATTATGCTATCTATATTCTGTTATCAAACCAGCAATGCTATGACTGAATCATGGACCAAGATATTCAAGAAAAGTTAAATCAGATTTCTTTTCCTTACAGTGGAGCAATGTTTGTATTGACATGGTGTCATTTGCCAATGCTGCATTTAAAGGAGCAGGTTTTCAGTCCTTAGACAGAATTGTTGTCTCAGCCAACTGTAAACTAAGGAAAATCTTCACTATGAAACTGCAGCCTCTGGATACTACTTTCAAGAATGGTATGTAGTTGGAAATAGACCAAAATAACATTAAGTAGGGATTGTATTTTGAAGGATTCCTTAATTTACACTAAAAGGACGTTACAATATTGAAACAAATCATAAAAATGCCTGTCATGTCTTTCTAAATTTTACAAGTGCTGTATTTGTAATAAGATTTAACAACCAAGTGTTCCTAACTGTACATTGAACTATTATACCAAGTCTGTATGTCCTCCAGAGTTAATATATATTGCAGTTCATTTCATCTTTTGCTCATACCAATATATTAGTTACGTTTCAACACATTATGATGTTTGCAACATTTTTGTCATGTAACTGAAGGATTTTTTTTCTTCCCCAGACGTATATTCATTACAGTGTTTGACTGATGGACCGACCGATGTAATTCCAAAGTGCTGTCAGCTAGGCATTGATGTAGATCAAGTTACACAGCTCCTGAATATAGTAAAACTGAAACAGGGAGAATTAAGGCTTGGAAACCAACCCTCCACTTCAACAGATTTGGGTATAGTTACAAGATTACTCTTAAGTTAAACCTAATCTTGGAGTTTTGCTGTTCCTTACAGTATTTCATACTTCAGCTGAATTGATGTAAAACAGTTTGGCTAATACAATAAATGCTAACAAGTATACTTTATTGACGAGATATCTGAATTGACTCCTTATCATTATTTTCTACTTATCTGGTACTGAAAAAATATGGGAGGCATTTCATAAAAAAGCTGTTTTCCAAAAGATTATTTGAAAAATTAATGTGCTGCCTTCTTTCAGTGTTTCAGTTCTGGTCTTGCAATATTTGTCAAAACAACATTAAGACGAAGTTTGATCCTATACTGGAAATACGAAAACATTAATTGATTGCTCATTATGCCAGTTTTGATTACAATGCTATTGTTATAAAGAAATTTGTATTGGTCAAATCAAAAACATAAGTAATATAGTGTCAATGTTTGAAATGTGTAGTTAAATACAAACATGCTGCAAGATGTCAGTAGGTCTGATGGCATTATGGAGAAAGAAACAGTTAATTTTCAGGCCTTTGACTTTACATCGTATTCTTGTTCAAGTACTGTTGTCATTGTTTCCCTTGCTAGTGGTATGTCTATTGATGTGAATAAGGCAGTGACATCAAACGATATCATGGTCTCTTCATCTTCTATCTTTATGTCTTTGATGGAGTTGAGGAATTCTTGGGCTGATGGATAGAGTGGGGTGACTTGTTGACTAGGTGCCTGAGTCTCCTTTGTAGTTCTTTGGCTAATTTGTGTGATGGAGTGCCTGGTAGGGAGACTATGGGTCTGAGGGGGACTTCTGGCTTGTGCACTTTAGGGAGGCCGTAGAATCGGGGTGTGTTGGTTCCTTCGGGTTTCATTTTTAAGAAGTCTGTTTTGTTGATCTGTCTTGTTTGTTTAAGTCTTTGTAGCATGTAGAGGATTTTGTTGCCTAGTTGCAGTGTCGGGTCAGTTTCTACTGGCCGGTATGTGTTCTCGTTGGCGAGCAGTGCTTGTGCCTTGGAGATGTAGTCCCTTTTATTCATTATCACTGTCATGCGCCCTTTGTCTGCGGGTAGTATTGTGATGTTCTTGTCCTTCTTTAATCTGTCCAGGGCTTGTCTTTCGTGTGTGTTGAGGATGTTGAGTTCAGTCTTTGTGGTTAGTGTCGGGACTACTGTCTGTCTTATGGTTTGTTGTGTTTCTTCTTTGATATTGTTGGTCTTGAGTGTGGTTTCCAGTGTAGCTAGGAATTCCATTTTGTTGGCGTCCCTGAAGTTGTAGTTCAGCCCTTTTCGTGTCTTTTTCCGTGTATGTCAGTTTCCTGTCGGAGAGGTTTCTTATCCATGTGTCTGTTCTGTTGTTGTCGTTTTTGTGGGTAAGTGTGGCTTGCTTGTCTTGCAGGGTCTGTCTTTTCTTCGCTCTTGTGGTCTGTTAGCTGATGTTAATGGCTCATTCCATGTCAGTTGTCCAGTCTTGACTGGTAGCTTCTTTGAATAACGTTTTTTGGCACATAATTTCTCTGTTGTATTTGTGGATGTCATGGTAGAGCGCAAGACAAATGGGGAACTGCAAACGAAAGTACACCGAAAAGCCACACACACAGACCAGGTACTGAACTTCAACAGCAACCATCCCAGCACACACAAACGAAGCTGCGTGTGAACACTATTTAAAAGGGCAACAACACACTGCAGCAACATGGAACTACGCCAAGAGGAAGAAGAATACCTCTTCCAAGTGTTCAAGGATAATGGATATCCAAAGAACTGGGTCAGAAGAAGCCTACAAGAACAGCATCAGAAAGACTCTACATGCCCCAACACGCTCATCACACTACCCTACATCAGGAACATGTCGGAACTCACCACAAGACTCCAACGACCGCTGGGCATCAGAGCGGCACACAAGCCCACATCAACCCTACGACAACTGTTCACCTGAACTAAAGACCCACTCCCGCCATGTCATCTACAAAATCCCCTGCAGAGACTGCGAGAAACACTACATCGGACAAACAGGAAGGAAACTACCAGCAAGAGTACATGAACACCAACTGGTTACAAAAAGACACGACCAATACTCACTCACCTCAATCCACATGGACAAGGAGAACCACGATGTCGACTGGGACAACACCAAGATCCTGGGACAGGCTAGGCAGAGACAAGCACGAGATTCCTGGAAGTATGGCACTCCATGAAGCAAGCTATTAATAAACACATTGAACTCAACCCCATATACATTCCACTACGAAGGAAAACCGGAAGTGAGAAATCCATCTCAATGGATCCCAGAGTTTAGAAACCCAGCGGGAAAACACACCGACGCTTCATCGGAGGCTGCACTGAGGATGTTACCAAGCATGGTAACGAAACGTCTGCAAAACAACAAACCAGCTCAGCGAGCCAACCAACCTCAACACCCACAACCCGAGCTACAGATCCACTCCAAAACCTTAGGTATCTTCCCTCTTACCATAGGTGAACTACTGAGACCTTTCAGGATCCCTGTCACGGGTGCCATCTTTAAATGCCAGACATATACCTGGTCAAATACTGCCTCAACACTGTGCCTGAATCGGGGGGTTTACCTAATATCAGTCACAGTCAGAGAGGGTAGCCCTCGTCTCCCAGTCACCATCCCTGTAATGCATGCGGCCCTTGAAACAAAGCAGGAACATGAGAAAAAACAATTCCTCTGACAACTCAGGGTTTGATCGCAACTATTTCCATTTCCAGTGTGCAGTTACTTATAGATGTATAAAATAAGGGTTGCAAGGAGTAGAGGCACCTGCGTGTATATGCGCACACCTCTTTGGAGGTGATCTTTGAAGGAGAAATTAGTTAATAAACTATACAGTATCCTTTCCTTTATAGAGTACAAGAGCAAGGAGGTGATGTTGAACTTGTATATGAGATATTTGTTTGTCCTAGTTGGAGTATTGTGAAAAGTTTTGGGTGCCACATTGTAGGAACATAGAACTGCACAGCACAGGAACGGGCCCTTCGGCCCACAGTGTTGTGCCGAACATGACACCAAATTAAACTAATCCCTTCTTCCTGCCCTTGGTCCACAACCATCCATTCCATGCATATCCATGTGCTTATCTAAAAGTCCACTAAACACCCCTAACCTATCTACCTCCACCAACACCCCTGGCAGCATGTTCCAAATTCCTACCATTCTCTGTGTAAAAAACGTGCCCCTCACATCTCCTTTGAATTCTCCCTCTCTCACCTAAAATGCATGTCCCCTAGTATTAGAAATTTCAACCTCGGGAAAAAGGTTCTGACTGTCAACCCTATCTATGCATCTCATAATTTTATAGACTTCTATCAAGTCTCCCCTCAGCTTTCACCACTCCAGAGAAAACAACCTGACCTTTTCTAGCCCCTTATAGCTCATGCCCTCTAATCCAGGCCTACTTCTGCAGCTGTCTTCTACATTTCTAAACCTCTTCTGCACCCTCCCCAAAGCCTCCATATCCTTCCTGTAATGTGATGACCAGAATTGAATGCAATATTCTAAGTGCAGCGTAACCAAAGTCTTATAAAGCTGAAGTAGTTGTCTCACATTACTGTTATTATTTGTGAACAGATTGATATAGCTTTTGTTTTTAGTTTTGAATTAAGATTCTGAGATGGTATGAACATATTAATCCACACGTGCAACATATAATCATGTGTGTTTACCCGTGTGTCTTTGGACACTGACAACTAACCAAGAGGATAGATGAGGATAGGGCAGTGGATATTGTCTATATGGACTTTAGCAAAGCCTTTGACAAGGTCCCGCATGGCAGGCTAATCACGAAGGTTAGGTTGCATAAGATCCAGGGAGAAGGATGTGAGTTCATTGGAGAAAGTGCAGAAGTGGTTAACAGGAATGGTTTCAGGGTTGAAAAATTTGAGTCATGACAATAGAAATTGGGGCTGTTCTCCTTGGAGAAAAGAAGACCAAGAAGAGGTCTGGTAGAGATTTTCAAAATCATGAGGGCACTGAAAAGAACAGACTGGAAGAAACTGCTCCCACTCATAAAAGGATCATGAACCAGAAAGCACAGAATTAAAGTGGTTTTCAAAACGAGCAAATGCAAGATAAGAAAAAAATCTTTTCACACTGCAAGTAGTTTATGGTATGGAATGCATTGACTCAAAGTGAGATGAAGGTAGCTACAATTGAGGCATTCAAGAGGGTATAGGATGATTATTTGGCTGGAAATAATGTGTAAGGTTGTGGGGAAAAGGCATGAAATTGTTACTAGGTAATGATGTTCATTTGAAAAGCTGGTGCAGACACATTGGGCCAAATGGCAGCCTCTTGCATCGTAGTTCGGTCTACAGGGCAGAAGAAGGCTGTTTGGCTCATGGTGTCTGCACTGGTTAACAGAGATCTGACAATGCTAATCACATTTTCCAACTCTTGGTCCAAAGCCCCGGAGGCTATGGCAACACACGATAATGTCTAAATGCTGCTTAAATGTTTCTGACTCAACCACCTTTTCAGGGTGTGAGTTCCAGACTCTCACCACCTTCTATGTGAAAATATTTCTGCTCAATTCTCCTCTGAGTCTTCTATGACTTCCCTAAAATATATGCCCCAGGATGATGATCCCTGAAGTAATGAAAAAAGTGTTCCCATCCATCCTCTCTGTGCCTCTCATAATCTCATACATCTCTAGCGGGTTCCTTCTCTACCTTCACTACTCCAACATAAACAACCCAGTCTAGTCAATTGTTCCTCATGGCCCAGACCCTTTAGCTCAAGCAGCATCCTGGGAAATCTCCTGTGCGCACTCTTGAGTGCATTTACATTCTTCCTATAATGTGGTGACTGATGACGAGAGCAATAGCCTAACCAGCATTTTATACACTTCCAACATAACGTCCTTGCTCTTATATTCAATGCCCCTCAGCTAATAAAGGCAAGTACCTCTAAGCCTTCTTAACCATCTTATCTACTTGCCCTGCTACCTTGAGGGATCTGTGGATATACATATATGTCAGGGGCC